CCCAGGACCCCGGGATCATGACCTGAGCTGAAGGCAGATGCTTCACTGATGGAGCCTCCCAGGCATCCAATGAAGAAACTTTTAGGGGTAGAATTTTAGGCTGAAAATTTGTCCATCAAAAATTTGAAGGAATTGGGGCACCCAGGTGGCCCAGTCATTTGAGCATCCAAATCTTGATTTCAGCTCAGGTCAGGATCCCGAGCCCTAAGGTGGCGTCTCATGTTGGGCTCTGAGCTCAGTGGGGAGTCTGCTGGGGATTCTCTCCTCTGTCCTCCCCCTTTTCTCTCTCTTTCTCTCTCAAATAAATAAGTAAATCTTTTTAGGCATTGCTCAGTGCAGTGACAGTGGGTTGTTACGGAGAATTGCATTGTCTTTTTGGTTTCTGTTCCATTTGAAATAGGACCTATCACTCCCTCCTACAAGCTTTTAGCATCTTCTCTTTATTCTCAGGGTGACATTTTATAATTTTGTGCCTTGATATATGGGTGTGCATGTGCCTGTGTGTGTGTGCGTGTGTGTGTCCATGTGGGGACCGACGTGTACGTGCACTTATTAATTATGCTTGAAACTGAGTGGACAGGTCATTTAGAGAAATCTTTCCCTAATTTTTTATCCTCCCTTCCATCTTTTCTATTCCCTCTCCTTCCCTTTCTCCCTCTCCCTACCCCTCCACCTTTCTTTCAGTCAGGTATCGAATCTCTGGATAGTGTCTTTCATTTTCTTCTCTTTTCTTTCCGATTGACCTCCTCTTTCTGTCTTGTTTGACTTTCTGAAGAATTTCCTCGGCTTTATCTTCCACTCCTCTTTGACTTTCCAGTTCCGTTGGTCGCAATTCTCAAGGACTCTTTCTGCCCTTTGAATTGTTTATGTTTTAAATATCTTGTTTTATGGATGTGACATCTTCATTTGTCTCTCAGAGGATATTTGTGAAAATAAAGAAAAAAAGAAGTAGAAGTCTTTTGCTCCTTGCGTTGCCCTGTTGTCTATCTGTCTTGCACTCTCTCTTTCATGTGGAAGCTTTGCTGAAGTGTCTGAGGTGTCCTGGACTATTCTCTCATATTTAGGAATTGAGTTCCAGAAAGTACTTCAGGCACATAGGTGGGCCTCATCAACTATTAGCCTTCACTATGGCATGATCACAGACTAAGAATGATTTCACTGGGAGATTGCCAGATGTCAACATCTGGGTACCTTTTTTTTCCCCTAAGATTTATTTATCTTAGAGAGAGCGAGTGAGCGAGCCTGCAGGGGGAGGGCAGAGGGAGAAGGAGAGAATGTTAAGCAGACTCCCCACTGAGCATGGAGCCTGATACAGGGCTCGATCTAATGACCCTGAGATCATGACCTGAGCCAAAATCAACAGTCAGGCTTAACCAATGGAGCCAGCCAGGTGCCCCAACATCTAGGTGTTTTTTTGAGCCACTCAGTTCCTGCAGAGACGCAACCTCTGAATCTCCTTCAGGGGTGGAGACTGGGAGTAGGGTCAGTGAGAAGCATGGGCATTCTTGGTGTTGCTGTCTTCTAGGAGCAGGAAGAAGGGAACCAGACCTTCCCCTCGGACTTTCCAGTTAATTTTCTCCAGGAAGAAACCACTAGACTGGTGGGCTGGGGCCAAGGTCATGGCTCGGGTACTTTGTTCCAGCCCTGAGCCCTGATCCAGCCTTCTGGGTTACCCTTTCCATTCAACACCGGCAAGACCCAGCAGAACTGATTTTCTCTAAATATTCCCACTGTAGCCCTTCTGTAAGCAAGCTTACATCTTTTTAGTTTTCGTCTTCCAAAACATTGAAATACCTTATTTCTTCTTGTCTCCCCTCTTCTTGCTCTTGGTGCACCAGTATTTCTTTACTTTCTTTGTATTTTAGAGGCATCTGGGGAGAGAGGAAGGAGAGAAACCCGTGCCCCACTTTCAGTGTTTCATTGGAATCACAACGAAGTTTCTCAGAGTTTACAAGGTGTTTGCAGGGCGAGTGATTATTGCCATGTGTTGATCCTTTCCCACGTGGTCTCCAAACCCCGTCAGGCATTTGTCGTGCATGGGAATAAGCCTCTGTGTGTTGATGGAGTGGAATTGAGGGTCCTCCGTTCGCATTTACTAGTCTTCCTTTTAGTTCTGCCTCATTGGTGCTTTACCTCGCTATTCGATGGGAAGTATCTTCCCCATGACCTTTAGTAAGTGTCATGGGCTTCTCCAGCGGAAGTGTTGTACAAGCCACAGAGCCAACTCACAGCGGGCACTTTTTCTTGGGACCATGTGTCTTGCAAAGCAGCAATTTCAAACACCAGCTGCAGGAAGCCACCATCACAGCCGATGGCCTTGACGTCAGTTTTATTCGTACGTGTGGGAGAATCGCCCCACGAGACAGAATCCTTGCTCTGCCAAGACTGTGGCAATTATCTTGGCCAACTTGTGTTTGTAAATAACCTGAGTCCCTGGGTTTCCTCTTTGGGTTGGAACATGGTGGGGTTGGGTTTGAAGAAGACATGAATGACCTTCCTTGGAACCCCCGGGGCAGCGTGGATCTTTCGAGAGTGGGCAGCTGACCCCCTTGCAGGAAGGCTAACGGTGATGTGGCTGAATTTGTGTCGCTTTGAGAGCTGGCTCGGGTTCGATCCAGAGCCAGTACTGGACTTAGCTCCCTGTGGACCAGGAGAGGCCACAGCAGAGTCCCGTGAAAGCTGGATACATTCCTATAGGAATCTGAGGGCCACTCTGGAAAGGCTAATTGAGGCACTCCAGACCCCTAATTAGAGGTTCTAGATCCTGGCTGTGCATGGGACTCACATGGGCGTTCTGTAAATCCTGATGCCCGCGAGCCTCCCCAGTCCGCAGACCAACTGAATGAGAAATGGGGGTGGGACCCACCATCACAGTTGCTAAAGCTCCTGAAGGGAGGAAGGACAGGGTGCAAATTACTGCTATGTACGTTTTTTTTTATCCCGTTGTTGCTACGTAAGCAAAAAACTCATTTAAAATTTGCATTATTTTGAACTAATTTGGATTTAGGGGAAGTGAAAATAATTCACGGCATAGTCATTTTGACACACACTTTTGCAGCTGTTATGGTGGGGCAGATGTTTCTCTCAAGAAAGAGAACGAAGGGGTGGCTCTTTGAATGGGGATTCCAGAACATTCAGGGCAAACTCCTCGGGGATTTCACTCTTCTGGAGCTGTGGTGGCAGAAATAGTGGGCAGGGCTGGGCACTGGCCAGATGTGACTTCCCTGATGTCTCGTGTCTCTCTTGGTGTGCGCAGGGCCTGTGGCTGTCATCAGTGGCGAGGAGGACTCAGCCAGCCCGCTGCACCACATCAACCATGGCATCACCACGCCCTCCTCGTTGGACGCCGGGCCAGACACGGTGGTCATCGGCATGACCCGTATCCCGGTCATTGAGAATCCCCAGTACTTCCGTCAGGGACACAACTGCCACAAGCCAGACACGTGTGAGTACTGGAGTAGAGCGTTGTCCCTTCCGGGGGAGGGCGGGGGAGGGTGGCATGGCAGTAGACCACGTAGCTGGGGTTCTGGAACCTTCTGAGGTGACCTACCACCTGCTAACCTCCCACTCTCTTAAGAGACCCTCCCTGTTTGTCTCAGAACTTGAAAAATAGCCTGAGCAAAGGGTCTCCACTGGCGCAGAGGCCCCTGGGCAGAGAAGGTTCAGGGCAGGGAGCAGCCTGGATGCAGGAGGCCCAGCCCCATGTGGAGACGTACTCCCAGTACGGCAGGGGACACAGACAAGGCTGGTCTTCTCTATGGACTTGGCATCTGCATTTAGGCAATGTAACCCGACTCTGTCCAGATAATAGGCCCTGAGGTCACCAGACCCTCCACGCAAACCTCCAGGAGAAGGGAAGGGATGAAGGGTGGGGAGTCCCATTGGAATGGAAACATCTCTCTAGCTGCCCCTCCAGTGCCCCAAAGCGTGCACTTTCTGAGAACCCCCTCATGGCCCCACTGCCAGGACGCCTCACCTCCCTCTGCAGACGTCTCCCTCAGATCAGAGGATTCAGGGCCCCGGTTTCCTCCTCGCTTCTCGCCTGCTATTAGTTCCAGTCCCTGTCCTTGGGTTTCTGCGGAGCTCCGCTCAGGCCTCTCCTGGCTCCCAGGGCCTCTCCTCATTTCCGGAGCCTCCGTGGCTTGGACCTTTCATTCAGCAGGTGGTCCCTTTGCCGTGTCCCAGCTTCTGTGTAAGCCTAGAAGCCCCAGTGCCCGCCCTCCCCTGCTCCTGCCCTCAAGAGGTGGTCAGCTAGTTCAGGAGAGAGTACGGAGGCCCCTGGAGACTGAGAAGGGAAGGGCAAGGCGAAGGCCTCCTTTTACAGACAGGAAAACTGAGGTACTGGGAGGCTGTGAGTTCCTCTTCCTTCTTCCCTGTCCCCTGGCTTCTGCCATTGGTTCTCTTCTTCTCTCTGGTGCTCCAGGGTCTCGGCTGAGGAAGCAGCACCCTGGGTCTTTCTCTTGCACTGGCTGAGCGCTCTGTACTCGGGCCACACTGTAGCTCTCAGAACTCTCGCCGCTCCCGCTGGTCCATCTCACAGCCAAGGGGGCATTCAGCTCTCACACCAACCTTTGCTTCTGTGTTTCTGGTTCTGATTTTTAGTGAGAGGATTGCCACAGTGGGAGGGACGGGGCTTGAGTCACAATCATGTGCCTCCCCTCCTTGGGTGTCATTCAGAATTGGTCTCAGTGTTTATTGGACATCCCTGTGTCGAAATAGTGGGGAGCTTAGTGCTCAGAACAGTTCAGCTCTGGCTAAAGGCCTTGCCTCAGGTCAGGTTCACCTTGGATGGACGAGGGTGTGGCTGGCAGGAAAGCTTTTCTGTGATGATAGCATGGGGTCTGGGCTTGGTCTAGAGCTGGTGATGCCGAGTTTCTGTAACGACACTGGCATTTGAACAGAGAGTGAAACATTGCTCCATTGAACGTGTAATCGATTCTCGTTATTCACAGTAGTTACATTCCAATAAAGTCACCACAAATGCTGAATTAGGGGACGCTGAGCCATTGCTCCTAGGGGACATACAGGGTTAGGCTCCTGTGAATGTCTGGTCACATTGTTATCAATGAGTCAATACATAACCTGTTTCATGTGTGCGTCTGTTGGAAGATGCCTTATTTAATAGACATTGTTGGTTCATTAACATCGAACTCAGGGTCAGCGGCATGATGACTCAGGCCTGAACAAAGCTTATCTAACACACAGATCTTCTTGAACACACCTGTTTGCTCCGTAAGGTCCACCCACCCCAGCCTTCTTGCTCACAGGAATGCTAGGTGGCCCTTCAGCACTATGCTGGGGCCATCTTAAACAGTGAAATTACCCACAAACGGCACAACTATGCAAGAAATGGCCCCAAACAGACGAAAAAATGAGCACTGGTTATGAGAGCGGAAACAAGAAGGCAGAGCATCCCATGGGAACATGTCTGTCAGATGACTCCCATTTCTCCCCACTCCTTTCACGTTTATCAGGGGCCATAATTGCCGGGAGTCCTGGTTTGGGGGTTACGCGTAAGTTTTAGCGAGGAGGCGAATCTGTAAATCCAGAATCCATGAATAATTAGGATGGGCGATATACCCTTTAGGGGAAGTTCTGAGCTCCTGGTGTAGTGTCTCTGGGTGTCTGTGCTCGTGTGAGTTCCTGATACCAGCTTCTCCGTGGCTATGAATGGGAGTGAGTCTTGCACCTGGGAACAAAGGTTCCTCTGGGCCATCAGAATAAGTGTGAGCCCTGGAGAGAGCCGTGGGATCTGAGTGTCTCTTAATGTCAGGAGCTCCGGCCCTACAAAACCGTGCAGAGAAAAAGCCTTCCTTCCTAATCCCTGGGTTTGTGATTTGAAGTGGACGTTTGAAGGAGCCAGGCAGTGCTTGCGCGTGAACAAGAAGGGGTCAGTGGAGACGGAGGGGAAGTGGGTTTATTGGTGAGGACCCGCCGGCGCCAGGGAGCAAAGAGTGCCTCACCCGAGGGGAATCACAAGCGACTCCAGCTTGTTAAAACCCTCCAATATTAGGGAAAGTGTCCTTTTCAGGGAAGCAGGACATTTTGTCTGGTCAGTAGGTAGCTGATGTCTCCTGATTATTTCCTGAAAACATCTATGGCAACAACGGTGCACAGCAGCCTTGTCAGTGGGTCTGGCCAGCCCTGCCTCTGCGAGTCCCTGGTTGATGTGCTGGCCTCACTCCTCAGCTGAGACTTGCCAGCTAATCGGCTGCCTGTCTCTGATTACAAAGGCTTCCTCGGCTGAGAGAGCCCAGTGACTCTGAGACACAGTGAATGTGATGAGACACTATCATAAATAATTAAAGCCACAGGCACTGGGGCAGATAAGTAAGCGGAGAGCCCTTGTGACTCTGCAGGCAAGTCTGGGCTCGCGCCTCTGGGGAGAGGGCGAGAAACAGGGGATTCGGGGAGAAGCGCTCATACTGTAGGCCTCCTGGGGACTCACCCGTCTGATTCCCTTCTGCATCCCTTGTGAAAATGTGCAGTGTGGGAAGCAGTGGCAGGGACATCGTGCCACCTGACTTGAGACAGCATTTCCGCGAGTCTCCCCACAATGGACGGAGCACGAAAGCACTTTGCTTTCTTAAGCATGTGTTCATCATAAATGGTGGGACCTTTCTGACCGCAGTGATCAGGCTGCCTCTCCTTTCCCCCTCTCTGCTTTCCATCTGGTCTGTAGCGTTTCTCAGAGCATGTCAGGCCTGCAGGGATGTCTGGAGAGCCCCTCGTTCCGTCCCTTATCAGAGGGCTTGAAAAAGCTCCCAGTCGGGAATAGGTATGGAATCTCATGCCTAATGAGGCCCCCTCGTTTACTGAAAGCCCGCTGGTTCTCAAAAACGTCAGGAAATGGATCCAGGCCTCCTGGTCACCCAGCCGATTTGGGGCTAGGTCCTACAGAATGAGACACCACAGGGCTGGCCTGGAGGGCTCCGTGGGGAGAAGTCGGGAGGTGTTTTTGTAGCAACATGGGGCTTTGGTTACCTTGGTCACCCTTGTGACAGCCCTCGGCCGGTCTCTGGCTGCCGTCTGAGAAGTCAGGCTCTGGCTCTGGCTCTTTCCCGCACGCCAGCTGGAAGGTGCTTTGATTCTGCTTCCTGCCCAGAGTTCCCTTCCCAAACCCCTTCTCAAAAGACCTTTTGCCTCTTGGTTGAGAGAGCAGAGGCCATCTGGGGAGTCAACCTGTGTCCTCCCTCCCTCTCTTCCTCTGTCCCCCGGTAAGGGCACCTGCCTAATTCACACATTGTCACCTTCCCAGAGCTAGCCCTCCCCCTCCCCCCCATCCCTCTGATCTCTTCCTCTCCCAGTGGGCCGGTGCCCAGGGACCTCTCCCCGCCCTGGCCAGCCCTGCCTTCCTCTGTCTTACCCTGCAGAGAGCACCTGGCTGCTCTCCTTGCCGTCACCCCAAACCTCTTTAGGGTCCTTGTCCTGCAGCTCCATGTCTCTCTCCGCTTCCCCAGGAACCCTGACTTCACCAGCCTTGATCTCTTTGCAAATCCGTGTACACTCCCCTCAGTCCCCATCGTCAGCATCCAAGCCTCTCTCTCTGAGCTGATCTTCCTCCTTTTCATCTGTTCAGTACAGATTTATTGAGGGTTTGTGGGAAGCCTTCCTTCAGGCTTTGGAAACAGTGGAGAACAAGGGCACTCACGGTCCCTACCCTCAAGGACTTGCTGCCAACGGTAGCTGATCTCCAAGATGCCAACAGCACCCCCCATTCCCTGGAGACCGCTCACGGAACCTAGGGTTGTGTCCCCCTCCACCTTTCTGCCCGTGATTTCCCCAGCCTCTACGCCTGGCGGCTTCTTTCCAGAATGTCGATCCCACACCAACTGCTGCTCTTGAGTCATTCCTGCTTGAAAGGCCCTGTCTCCCCTCTTGGCTAGGCCCCCACACCCCTTTCTTCCTCTCTTCCCCTAGTCATTGTTTAGCACCTGGCTCATTTCCAACCTCTTCCTAGGCCCAGGCTGTGGCCAAGTGACCCTTTCCCCCCAGGAACCCCTGGCATAGAGTAAATGTCGCAAATGACTTTGAATCAAATCTTAGGTCATCCTGTCACTTCTCAAGAACGTGTGTTCTGTTTTGCAAACTTGACTTTGAATATATTCCAAGAAGTAGCTCTCACATGTCACAGTTCTTCTGTTCCCTGTGGACGATACAGCCTGGGACTAGGGGCCAAGGACATGCAGCTAGCGCCGTGAGTCGGATGACACGTGGCGAGTGTATCTTTGTGGCGCGGGCTTTCTAGAGAAGGCACGGACAGAGGGCACGGTTGCTGGTCTGCCTCAGCAGCCTCTTCCGGACCCAGCATGAGGCTGGCGTCGTGCATCTTTTGTTCAGGGGACCTCGCACCCCCTCCCTGAGGAAGAGGCTGCTATTCCCATTCTACAGATAGAAGGCTGAGGCTCAGTGAAGCTTACACATGGAAAGTTGCCACTCACCCCC